TGTTACCTTCATATAAGCCTTATACAACGGTGTTTTTTTTTTTTTTTTTTGCGGCTCCAGACAGATTTGTTTCGTTTTTTTGTCAAATATGGCTCTTTGAACCTTTTGAGTTGCCTGGGCCGCTAAAAAGGAAAAAAATGCCCGGGCCGTTTTTTTGTCCCTGTCCAGCCCTGGCCCTAATACATGTGGAGGTGTGCGTTTGACCCGTGAGCTGCACTTCCTGTGAGTCTGTGGCTTTTATTCAGTGACGTGATCTGAATCGGTTCCATTTACGGTACGAGCGACCGCAGAGCTGTCCCTGGAGCCAGAGCCGTCATCACAACACGTATGTGCAGGGGCGCTTCTAAGCAGTGGCTCCGACCGTCACTGAGGAGGGGGGGGGCATCCTTTAGTGGGCTGGAGGAAAAAGTGTAAGATCGACTGAATGATTGTGGTTTGAGCGGAGCCTGCTGTGACCTGGTTTTACTCTGTCATCGCATGAAGCGGCAGGACACGAACTGGTTTGTTTTCTATCATATTGGATCAATATCATAAATATGAAGCAATAAGCCATGCACGGCTGTCTTTTTAAGTACAGTAAGTCAGCAGTAAGCACTGTGGGAGCGCACGCTGTGATTACAGTTGTTCCTAATGGCTCCATCTGTTTCTATATGAATAAATGATAGCAAACATGGGCCCAGCTGCTGCGGCTTGAATTATGAATTATGAATTTACTGTTACGTGCGCCAAACATAACGCCTCCAGCACCGTATGTACAGCTCCACAACTGTCCACCGGGGGGCGCTATCTATGAATGCAACAGGTGTGATTGAAGAAGTTAATATGAGACACAGGTAAACTGATTAAAATAGTTTACGTTGTTAAATGCGTTTTCCTGAGGGCTGTCAGAGGTCAAATCTGTGTAAAGGGGGCATTCGTCCAGCCAGCTCCTCACCTAACCCCCCCTTGATTTATTTATTTGTTGAATTGATATGGGCACATCAGTTACATTGGACAGACCAACAGCCTTTAGTGTAATTTAAAAAATGAAATTAAACATGTGAACAACGTTACTCCAATTTCAGCCACGGTTCAGACGTCTGGTAAAGATGTCACTTGCCTGCACTGTTTGGAAAAACCCAGATACAAACTGTATAACTATTATATTCATTTTTGAAGTAACTCATCACTTGACTCATTACCAATTTTACTATAGCAAAAATACTATTATAATACTATTGTAATCAAAGTAACTCAAGTTGCATCCATGCTTCAGAAAAGCATTCTTAGTTTTCTCAGTTTATGGTTAATTTTAAATCTTACTTAGATAGTGTTTTAATGACAATAGTTTTATACAATCAGTATTTTGGAAAGAAAAAAAAAGTAGTCAAAGAAATGTAACATTATTATGTAACACTATTACACTGGGTAACAAAAAAATATTTTTTGAAAATAGTCCAGGGTTTTCCAGCTGAATTAGACTAATTTTGATGCTCTGAGTCCGAAAATGACCTTGGTTTTGATCAATCAGGTCAGGATTTTTTGCTACAGAAATATTTTTTTAAATCGATTTTGCGTAAAAAACCAATTTCCTCAATTACCCTCAAGAAATAAAAGTCAACGTATCCAAAGTCTTTCAGTTTTTATTTACTCCATCAAATTTGATAAGCAGAATTCATAATAACGTAGACGTACGTAATCCGTAACACTATCTGTATCTCAAAAAAGTTGACCTGATAGAGCAAAATGCATGTGATATTCGGACTCAGATCAGTTGAGAAACCACTGACCATTTTTTGGCTGTCAACTTGTGTTAACATTACATTACATTTTCATTACAGCACAGTGTATACAATACAATGTTTGTAACACTTTTCCAACACTGCTTGGTAACTTTAATGATCTACTGAGCAGTTGACCCTCCACCATGAAGTCTAGTCCCAGTAATCACACTGTAGGTACAAGCACCAACCGAATAAGGTCATTTTGTGTTTACAGGATTTTGGAGAAGTGGCTGGAAGTCTCTGGCTTAATATGCATTTTGAACAATAGATCCTGGCGCCCAAGTGAAGCCTCTGACTGTGAGTGGTTTGGAGAGCTGTGGATGTCCCCCCAGACCATACAATATGTTTGTGTGCGTGATATGAGTGGATGTGTATAGGATAAAAGCCCTCGTCCCCACAGACCGTACGATATCAGCTCATAAAGTCCAGGAAGTGTAAGCACTCTTGTGATTAAAGATTCAGCGGATGGATCTGGAGCGGGGCCAAATGTAGTGACCGCATCAGCCGTGTGGGCCCCACCCTCGCAGCTGACGGCCTGTGGTCCTGCCGACCTGCAGACAGCACAAGGTGGAAGGACAGAGTTGTCACCAGACTCTAAGGCCCGGTCACATAAGTTTTCACAAACTAACTAGGCCAAGTGGATCGCCGCCACGGGGGTGTGAAGACGCCTTGCAGTCAGATGGGTTTATTTTTTCAACCATGCCAGACCAAATGCGATGTAGTACAACGCCCGGTCCAGCTTGTGGCGCTAATACAAACTAACCACTACCTCAGGATCCGAGTTAAGTTTCCTTTTGTTGTTCTGTTTACACTCGGCTACTATAGCCAATATGGCGCCAACCAGCTGAAGCATGGATCGCGTTCTTTGCCATCAGTGAGAGTCACTGTGTACAAATCTGAGACATGTCTCTACAGTGTGGGTGGGTGGGTGCACGGTGGACAAGTTTTCCTTATCATAAACGGCGTGCGTCTGAGAAATGAATGAATGAGAATGAAAGAATATAAAGTGTGGCGTACGAGCAGAGCGACCGGAGCCAGACAGGATATAGGTGAACGCTGGTGTGTTTTGGCCACAAAATAAAGTCTCCTTCCGACCACGGTCCGGGAGCTCACATGAAAGTTGTAACACAAGCAGGGAGAATAGAAAGTATGTGACTGCAGGGAGAGACGTGTGTGAAAATGCTAGTCACCGCGTGCGTTGCAGGAATAATAATTACAATACTATTTATTTTTGTATAGCCCTAAATCACAACAGCAGTCATCTCAGAGGACTTAACAAAACCATTGAAATAACCAACACAGATCAACAGTTAAGACATAAAAAAGAATATAGAACACATGTTGATAAATGTTGTAGAATGTTAATGTGTCCTGGATCATCACCACAGTCCTTTTTGTTAGACACTAACTGTCCAACAGACCCTCCTACATCGGCAAGGAAAAACTCACAGTGGGAAAAAAGTGAGAAACCTCAGGGAGATCCACATCGAGAGAGGAATCCGCTTCACAAGGACGGATGGGCTATAGATCCAGGACCTAAGCTACGGAACGAGGACCAGGGCCACGCAGCGGCCGCAGAACGTGGACAACACCCAGACGGGTTGGGCAGGGCAGTCCGCAGATGTAGATGCGGGAGGCCAGGTTCAGAGGTCCCGTCGTCGTACCATGAAACAGACAATGGGACAACGGGTGAATAGCAATGAACAGTCAAAATTCTAATAATGCAGACAGATAAAGTAGGAAGGAGGAGAGGATAGTGCTCAAGTTACCATACTTCTCCCAGCAAAATGACTCCCTATGCAGCTTGACTGACAATTTAAAATATTTAGTCTTCCCTGAGATGTGTCTATCTCCAGCGTGTGGGTGGGTGGGTGGGTGGGTGCATGGTGGACACGGGAACATAGTCACGGCACGGCGCGGCACAGCCTTGTGCGGGTGCTTTTCTATTAAAAATAGTACCTCTTCAGCGTGGGAGGGATTGTCAGACCATGTCATTTAGGTGCGACGTGTAACCAGTACACGGTGCATGGATTTATTATATCGGTGATAGCTGTTATTACCTCCTAGGCCCTAGGGGACTCTGCTTACCCCTTGCAGAACTGGCTCCTAAAGCCTTTTCAGTACACCGAGTGACAGACGAACAGCAAGTATTTAATAGAAAATTCAGCACAGCGCAAGTGGTTGTTGAACATGCTTTCAGCAGTCTTAAAGGGATGACTCGGACACTGAACATGTGAAGTCAATAGTGCTGACCTGCTGCGGTCTGCACAATCTGTGCGAAAACCATGGAGAGACCATGTGACACCTGTAGCGACAGCAGCCTGTGTAGAAGTAGTGCAGAGGAGGGTCTGATGCATAACTTTTTCATACGCCTAAAAATTTATTTTGACCAAAAATAGAACCATTTTGTATTTAGCAAATGTCTCCATCCTTGTTCATACATTTAACAAGGTTATATAGATTAAGTGACAAATATAATGCATGTAATGTGAATAGAAGTAAAAGTATATGGTAGGAATTCGTAACTTTTGCTTTAAAACCCCTTTTCTGCATGTGTACAGACAAATGAACGAAACAAAGTCTTGATACAATCACAGATTTATTAAAAACAAAAGTAAAGTGCAAAACCAACAATTTACAAAGTTCAAAGTATGTATGTCACTTGAAACCAGGCAGGGGACGAGTGGTCACTTATTGCTCGTTTGTAATCTTACTTGTGGGAAGGGATTCTCAAACAAATACATATACACAAAACAACTTAAGTACAAGCACAAAACAGAATGGCAACACGTGAAAGAGCAAAATACAGCACAGTAGCACAGGAAGGACGTTTTAGCTTCACTTGCTATTGATAGCTAAATGTAGCTAGCTCACTGTGGACAACAGACAATAAAACTTTTACACGAGTAAATACATTTCAGTGAGTGCTTTGGGCCAATGGGATAGGTAGCTAACAGTTATTTCCAGGATTACTACAGACTAGTCACAAATCAAGAGCTGGGCGATCTCCCTGAAAACCTCGTTCTATTTCATATGTTGCTTCAGCCCTTTAGGCTTCGCTATTGCATATCTCTCGGAAGTACCGCTTCCCGCCCTGAGAAGATCAAACGATCCACCGCTACAATCACTATGACGTCCTGGCATAGGTCAGTCCCCTATAAATAGGGCCATGCACCACAGCTCTTCTCCTTTCTCTCTCAGCTTGCTTAGAGAGAAGCTTCGACTCCGGTATTCAGGATGTCTTCAAGCAAGATCCCCGCGCCTGAGAACTTGCCACCTCCGCCTCCAGCCCGCATCGCCTCAGGTGGACTATCTTCAGTCCCTCACTCCTTCCCTCCGGCAGCACAGACGTCACGTGGTAGCTCCCAGGATGGAGCCTCTCTGCACAAGGCCAGCCACGAGTGGGATAGGCCCATGACAGCCAAATCCCCGGCGCTAGCGTATGGAGTATACGCGGGAGTGGACGCCCGGACTAGGCCGACAGGCGTTCCTCCCATCGAGGATGCAGTACGCCTGTCCCTGCTCCCATCTCTGTGTGGAGTGAGAGGACAAGTGCCCAAAAAAAAAAATAATAACAATTGTAAACCGCTTTGTGACTCTGGTCTGTGAAAGGCGGTATATAAATAAAGCTTACTTACTTACTTACTTAGCTTCCTCTCCGTGGTCTGGGCTGGCAGCCCCCCCCAACCGTCTCTATGTTGGGCAGGTGTTATGCTAATGCATCACAGGTCGTTGCTTTAGCTAATAACTAGGGCTGGGATTCGATAAAAAAAAAAATCGAATTAATTAGAAGCTTTGTAATTAATTAATTGCATTTTAATCGCATGTAAATAGTTGACCTGATAACAGTGAAAAGTAAAACATATTACGCATTCGCGGCCTGAGCCAGCTGCAACTTGCATCCTCCCCCTCTCCTTCCCCCTTTTCTTACTTTTTAGCGTACTTATTTTTATTTTGTCTGTAACTGCTGTTATAATACAGCTGGATGAAGCTAGTGCCCACTTAGGAAGTGAGACACGCCGTGTTTTCCACCATTTTCCTTATCATAAAGTTTGGATTATACTTGTGACCGGAGATGTGCCCACGCGCTCCCATTGTTTACACCCGGGACCAGCTGCTGGCGCTGCGGAGAGCGGTGGTCCCTCTCGGCGACAAACACACGGAGAACATCCAGAGGCTGCCGCACGGCATGGAAGGTACGAGGGCAAAAGAGATCTAGACCCGCGGTACCTGCCGTGATCAATAAGACTGACACACTACCAGCCATGTCTACCAGCGCGAGTACCGCAACGCCAGCCTTCAAGTATTTACAGAAACATGGCTACACACAGAAACTCCTCCAGTGAGAAACGTTCCACGGTAAAAAAAAAAAAAAAAACAATTAAAATGTGTCAATTTTTTTTACGTGCTAATTTTTGAGTAATTAATTAATCTTAATTAACGCGTTAAAGTCCCGGCCCTACTAATAACATTACTCTCCTTGCTGCATCCCTCGACAGGGACCGCTCTGCCACCCCGCACCGTTCAGAGCCCGGGGGCTCCCTGGGTCCAGTGCGCGGGAGACAGCAGGCGCGTGACCGGCGGAGGAGGAGCGGCAACCACCCCGGCTTTGCAGCTACAGGGAGGGGAGGGAAATGCTCCAGGGCCGTTACTCCCACAAAGAGTACACTTCTTTCCCTTTTTCCTCTCCCTCAGCGCTTGGCCAACGCTGCTCCTCTGCCAAGCGCCTGGAGCCTCTCGCAGCGCGCTTCAAGCGCTCTCTTGGGCAGAGAGTGCGCGGCTGCACGTTACCCTCCTACCTGCCTGTGAACCACCCCCAGACCAACGCAAGCGGGAGGCTTGCCCCAATCCCGGTACAAGCCGGCTGCAGCACGCCTCTCCTTATCTGCGGGAGAGGAGACGCCCACCAGCCCACCACAGTCCCACTACGCGCTCCTCTCCCTGTGCCGCGATGAGCGGTCACACGGTACAGCGGTCTTTCCAGAGCATTGAGTTGGCCTGCTCTGCCCCCCTCTCAGTCCCCAGTGTTGGGGAGCGGGGGCTCGGCTCCGCGTAAGCGCAGCGCGGCTTTCCTCACGCTGCCACACGTTAAAAGGCCCAGGGCTGCAGCCAGGACAAGCGCCAGGCCCGGGGCCTGGATGACCTCCGTGGACCTCAGGGATGCATATTTCCACATACCCATTGTTCCGGGGCACAGGAAGTTCCTCCGGTTTTCTATAGTGGGGGGGGCTACTCCCTAGCCTCCCGCACCTTCTCCAGGTGGTGGAGGCGGCGCTAGATACTACCAGGATACTGACGTATATCGACGACTGGCTGATCCTGGCCTCCTCTTGGGAGGAGGCGCAGGCTCACACATCCAGATTGTTGAACCTAGGGTTTTTGATCAATATGGACAAAAGCTCCTTGTGCCCTGCCCAGGAGATCTCATATCTGGGGCTGGTCTTGGATTCCAGGAGCATCACGGCTTCACTTTTGCCGGAGGGGCAATCGGCGGTTCAGAACCTGGGCCGGATCGTTCTGGGCGAACCTCAGGTCCAACCGCGGCTGATTCGGTCACTCTTGGGCATGATGGCAGCGGCCCACCCTGTGGTGAGACCGGGGTTGCTGCACATGCAATGTCTCCAGAGATGGTTTGCACACCTCAAGGGCTTATCACGGAGGGCGCGACTGTCGGCGAGGGCTCGGAACGACGTCGCCCTCTGGCTGTCCCCAGGTCGACTCCAGGAGGGAGTTCGAATGGGTCTGGTGGACCACCACATCGAGGTCTTCACGAACGCGGCTACTATTCAGAGAGGGCGGGCTACATCCACCACCAAAGCATAAGAGGTTCGCTGGAAACTTTTCGACTCTTGGTGCGTGGACAGTGGCTTGGACCCCACATCGTGTTCCATCCAGGAGGTCTTGGCCTTTCTCCAGTCCTTGCTGGAGAGGGGCAGGGCAGCCGCCACTCTTGGTGTATTCGCGACAGCCATTACCACTGAGCACGTGGGGTTTGGAGGCTACTCTGCGCGTAGCAACCCTCTGGTGAAGCGCTTCCTCCGAGGGAACCGCAGGATCAGGCCTCCCCTCCAGCGAGCGGCTCTGTCTTGGGACCTTCAGGTGGTCTTGTCTGGCCTTTCGGGGCCTCCCTTTGAACCCTTGGACAATGCAACCATTGCCTTTTTGTCTTACAAAACGGCATTGTTGTTGGCTTTGGCTTCGGCCAAGAGGTCGGGGGATCTGTGTGCCCTTTCCGTGCAGCCGTCTTGTTTGTCCCTCCCCGCTCGGGAGGGCATGATGGAGTTGTGGCCTAACCCGGCCTTCCAGCCCAAGGTCGTCACGTCATCATTCAGATCTAGGGTGATCAGGGTGAGACCGTTTTCCCTCCTCCAGATGCTTCGGCGGAGGAAGAGCTGCGTCATAGTCTCTGCCCGGTCAGGGCTGTGAGATTCTATTTGGACCGCACGTCTGACCTCAGGCGGTCGGATCAGTTGGTTGTGGGGTTTGGCACCAGGAATCAGGGTGCCGCTTTGTCTCCACAGCGCTTGGCCCACTGGCTCTGCCTCTCTATCCGTTTGCCGTATGAAGCTCAGGGCTTGCCACCTCCGGCCCAGTTGAGGGCTCACTCCACTCCCGGGGTTGCCGATTCGGTGGCACTGTTCCGTGGCACTTCGGTGGAGGAGATCTGCAGGGCGGCCTCTTGGTCCTCCTCTTCGACCTGTGCGCAGTTTTACCTACTGGATGTCGCCTCTGACTCTGTTGCTCATTCGGTTTTGAGTGCAGGACGCAGGGCGCAGGTCTGCAGAAGGAGGATTGTGTGCAGAGGTGTGGGTGCTCTTGGGAGAGGCGGCCCGGACACCTCTGCAGTGAGGATGGGTTGACGGGGGGGTTGGCGCTCTTGGGAGAGGCTGCCTGCCCAGGTTGGTTTTAAATCATCTTCCCGCCTTGCAGGTTGAGGAATGCGCGGGCACTCTTGGGAGAGGTGGCCCTGCATTCCTTATTCAATGGCTCGTAGGACCTCCGTCTCTACCACTTGGTTGTGGTATGAGCACGTTGGTCACGGGTTTTCTCCAATCACCGGAGTTCATGCCTGCTGGGAGTACATTGGTCTGGGCTTCGCTATGTTATGCAATAGCGAAGCCTAAAGGGCTGAAGCAACATATGAAATAGAAACCCCAGTTACCTAATGTAACTAAGGTTCTTTGAATATGTTCCGAAACCCTTTAGCTTCAAGCCTAGCAGACCTGCCCTCTCTTATTCGGCTGAGTTCGAAAGGAGAAGAGCTGTGGTGCATGGCCCTATTTATAGAGGACTGACCTACGCCAGGACGTCAAGGTGATTGGAGCGGTGGATCGTTTGATCTTCTCAGGGCGGGAAGCGGTGCAACATATTCATGGAACCTTAGTTACATGAGGTAACTGGGGTTTCCGTGGGCCGTGTTCCGTCGAGCTGCCTTTGAATTCTTCCTTCGGCATAAAGAGAGTAACGTGTGGACCTCGTCGACCGACCAGGAGGCTGACTTTTGGGGCTTTCTGTGCGATTCCATTTCTCTGGAGTGAGGAGGACGTTTTTATAATAGATCCATGGGAGGACGTATTATAGCAGAGCATAGAATCACTGTTGAGGTGGTACGAAAAAAGTACCCTTATCTCAAGCCCATTCCTAGTGGAAATGCAAAATAACCACGCCATTCCGTACCGTACTGTACCGTTACTGTGGAAAAGCGGCACAAGACCAGACAAACAACCTAACCATATGCTAAATTGAAGAAGAGTGTTTTAAGCCTGGCCTTGAATGAGACCGTGTCTGCTTCCTTAAAGTGGATGGGAAGCTGATTCCACAGTAAAGGAGCTTGGTAGCTACAGTGCCTTGCGAAAGTATTCGGCCCCCTTGAACTTTTCAACATTTCGCCACATTTCAGGCTTCAAACATAAAGATATAAAATTTTAATTTTTTGTCATGAGTCAACAACAAGTGGGACACAATCGTGAAGTGGAATGAAATTTGTTGGATAATTTAAACTTTTTTAACAAATAAAAAACTGAAAAGTGGGGCGTGCAATATTATTCGGCCCCTTTACTTTCAGTGCAGCAAACTCACTCCAGAAGTTCAGTGAGGATCTTTGAATGATCCAATGTTGTCCTAAATGACTGATGATGATAAATAGAATGCACCCGTGTGTGATCAAGTCTCCGTATAAATGCACCTGCTCTTTGATAGTCTCAGGGTTCTGTTTAAAGCGCAGAGAGAACCATGAAGACAAAGGAACACACCAGGCAGGTCCGAGATACTGTTGTGGAGAAGTTCAAAGCCGGATTTGGATACAAAAAGATTTCCCAAGCTTTAAACATCTCAAGGAGCACTGTGCAAGCAATTATATTGAAATGGAAGGAGTATCAGACCACTGCAAATTTACCAAGACCCGGCCATCCCTCCAAACTTTCATCTCAAACAAGGAGAAGACTGATCAGAGATACAGCCAAGAGGCCCATGATCACTCTGGATGAACTGCGGATAACTACAGCTGAGGTGGGAGAGTCTGTCCATAGGACAACAATCAGTTGTCTACACTACAGCATAGAAAGCTACCTGGATGCTAGAGAGTTAGCTATTTTTAAACCTGTGGAGAGATTTTACTAAATCAAATGGTCTGTTCGTGTTGTGTGGTCGGTTGTAAGGCTGAGGACAGATTACGTTTTTTTTCTAATACTTTCGGAAAAGAACAGCGAAAAACGGCCGCGGTAAAGTGGTTGCCCTTTTATGCTGTTACCTACGTATGCTGTTACCTAAACGTAGGTAATGAGGGGGGGGGGGGGATATAAATTCATAAACAAATTTAAGTTTTGCAACTACTTTCACTGTGCACTTGTTCACTCATTCATTCATTCATGAATGATGATTAATTTTAAACATTGCATTTTTGTTGGTAATCCCCTCGGCTTCCTGTTCCACCTTTACCGTAAGTAACAGCAAACAGGGGCAACCCGCTTTTAATGTGCTTTACCGCGACGGCAAAATGCCGGACCACTTTACCGCGGTGAAAAACGCGCAAAATGGATTCTCACCACGAACCCTTCTTGAGTGAAGGGTCCCGGGTAAATAAATGTCTCCGAGTCCCAGTTCCAGCCGATCGGTGCCAAAAGAGAAGTGAGTCTGAGCAATGTTTCTTGTTGTCATCCCAGGTCTCTAATGGGCTTTGAATTTGTTCAGTTCGGTCTCATATATTAATTTTTAGCTTGTCTTAATATCTTCTGTGATTTTCTTGCGTTAAAGTGCTTATATACAGTGTTATTCACCCACTGAGTCTTTTAAAAGTACCTGTCGCATCCATGCTTCAGTATGCGCCGCTCTGTCTTCTTGCCACACAGCGAGGGGCGCATGCGCACGCGGGTGTATATAAAGATCCTCCTATAGCAGGGGTGGCCAACCCGCGGCTCGTGAGCCGCATGCGGCTCTTTGGCTGGTTCCGTGCGGCTCTTGGGCTTTCACATGACAAGCGTCAAAAACGCCTCGGTGGTGGCGCTGCCATTCATTCTCTATGTAGTTCTGACCCATAGTAAAGGCCGACTTCACTCCACTAGCCAGGCCACCAAAACAATCTGACGTCGGCGAACGTCAATTCTGATTGGTCAGTCACTCTGCAGCTGCTGCCTCAGCTGTTGCAAATATCATAACAAACAACACGTTGCCTCGACCCATGGCGTCCGTACGGAAAACAGCTCCTTGGTCGCTGGATGAGGGCAACACCTTCCTCAGTTTGAGGAGAGGACACCAGCGTGATCTCGCTGGTTCCACCAGAAACCAGAAGGTGTTTGTGGAGGTAGCACTAAGGACGGAGCAGAAGGATTCCCACGAACATCACAACGCAGAGAAAAGTTAAAAAGCTTAAAAGTGACAACCGTGAAATGAAAGATCACAGCAGCAGAAGTAGAGGCAGACCCGAAAAGTCTGGAGGTGGTTTGACCAAATGGATTAAATTTACGGACATCGACGAACACCGGCTAACATGCTAAAACCAGCTAACAACAGCTAGCATTACACCAGGAGAAAAGCCAACTCTGCCTGGTGAGTGTCTGTCTTCAATCAAATGCAAAAGTATCTGGTCTTATACTGAGCATGTGTCTGTGGTTCTAAATCAGCTAACGTGGTGTTGGTGTTATGTGTCAAATTTATATCTTTTACTAAATACAGTCAGAGAGTGAATCATGGTTCGATAAAGACAGTTGTGTTTCTGCTGAATACTGGGTTGAAACTCGATTTTTTTTTTCTTGGTTAGAGATTGAAAGCATTCATTTCGGAATCATAATTGATGTTCGCTGACGTGAGATTGTTATGGTATCGACTCGCCCGGTTAGAACCAGGGCCGAACCATCAATAAAAAGTACCGGGGAGCGGCTGAAGCGAGCGGTAGAAGCGCCCGCAAACCAGCCCTTTAGTACTGTACGAGTCAATTTCTGTCATTATCATGTTGATGACATTTACAATACATCTGTCTGAGCAGAGCACACCTCTCTCTGCTCAGACAGATTGCATGTGTGTGCGCGTGTCTGCTCGAGTGCGTACGTGCGTGTGTGCGTGCGTGTGTGCGTGCGTGTGTAAGGGTTGGGGTGATGTTTATGTAGTGCACATTTGTATGATGTGGCTCTTTGCTGTAATACAGTAAAAAAATTGGCTCTTAGTCTCTGAATGGTTGGCCACCCCTGTCCTATAGAGTGTGAAAAGAATCGGTCCGAGTACCAACCCTGAGGCACACCAAATTCTACTCCAGAATAAGGAGACGAGTTTTGATTCACATTGACATAGTGATACCGATCCGATAAATAGGATTTAAACCAGCCAAGGGCTGTTCCTCTGAGACCTATGCCACTCAGCCACTGTGTCGCCCTTTGTGCTTTGTGCTGAACCTGTTCTGGTACATCATAGACAGAACTGTGGAGATCTTTTTATGTCCAACATGTTTTAAAGCCATCGGTTGGTCATTTCACTGACACCAGATAGCAGTGTTTCTTTATTTGAGGTCATCTTGTACTCCAGCTGTTTTTTATTAACCCATCTTATCCAGACAAGTTGAAAACCAAAGTTGTTTACTGTAGTCTCAAAGTTTGCCACTGTTCACTGTGAGGTGACAAAAGCTCAAATACAGAATATATCAGACAGTAGCTCCAAATATCTAAATTCCCACTTTTCCTAAAGCTCTGGACATGACATGTTCCCAAAAAAACAAAGTGATTTCACTCTGTTGTTCTGGACCTAAGCATCTTTGAGGTTTGAGTCTGTTTATTTATGCCCCACATGTTTCAAAGCTTGTCGCTGCTTGTGGATGTGCAACAGTCAGAACTTTGGTCACTTCTAATTGTCTATTTCAGAGCCTTTTTGAGCACTGCCAAAACAGCTGCCCAGAGGCAGACTGATGTAAGTGAGGCTGCCAATCTGTCATCAGCCCCTCTAACCTCTACTTGTCATTCATACACCAGATGTAGGAGAGTCTGCTGCGTATAGCTTCTGAGATCTCATCAGATAAGGTCCACTTTATTGTCCCCTTTAGAGAACTGTGTTCTCTGCATTTCTGCACCCATCTTCCACACCTTTGAGGCGGTGCTGAAGTTACCTGGCCCCTATCGTTTTGATGCTCTTGGTCAGAGCTACTGGAGCTGGATGATTTCACCTCGGATGTATGTTATTGTGTGATGGGGAAACTGGAGCGCCAGGAGGAAACCCTCCCAGACTGGAATATGAAACGCCACACTTGTTGCTGCACCATGAGTGCTGCCCACTCAGCCACTATGACCACCTCAGCTGTGCCTGTATTTATTTTCTTTAGTAGAGATTTGAAAACCATGTTTCTGAAGCTTTGTACACAAACTCCACTTTCCGGAGAAAACCCTTGGTCTTTAAGTACAGTCGATCTTTAAGGAAAATGTTCGTAATAATGGCTTTAAGTTTCTCCTATGTGTTACTTTATACTTTTTTTGGAGGGTTTTATGCATAGCCGTTTTATTTCGTATTCAGCTCTAATCTGGTGCAAGACATATGTTTTATGAACTGCCCCCGATTGTTCCTTAATTCAAATAAAGACTTTAGATCCAGATCGGCAGAGAAAGAGCCCCCTCCCCTCCCTGTCTTTATCTGTATGAATAATCTATGAGACGACATTGTTTTGTAAATGCTTTTCTATTGCTTGTCTAATGGAGCAGTAACGACTCTGTGATGGACTCCCGCTCCCCGCCGCTGCAGCTGCGCTCTGTGCGGCTGATCCGTGCGCTGAAAGCCTGTTAGCGCAGAATAGATCCATAGTTAGCGCACATTCTCCGTGTCTGCGCGGCGCATGAATACTAATCACCTGCGGGACAATGGACTCTCCGTTTGAGCTCGCTCCCGTCACGCGTGCCAGTCACCTGCCGCAGCAAAGCACGTTAAGGCGTGACGCACGTCTGTGGCACAAAACGAGACAAAAACTGCAATATAAAGAAACGGGCCGTTATTAAAGCACCATTATGGAAGGATTAAGGCACAAAGAGCTCAGAGCAGCCGCCTGAAGAGCGCTGTGAGGCGGACACAGCAGCAGCCGTGGCCCAGAGGATGGAAACAAGTCTGTAGTCTGGTCTGACATGCAGCGTGTATAACTAAGTTCTGCTTTCACTGTGTGACTCAGGTTTGTGGTCTACTTTTCAACCTGTTCTTGTGATTGAATAAAGTTTGCCTGGTTGAAATGACACAATAGAGAAAATAGATTCAATACAGTTGATTTATTTATTTAGTTTTGTATAGCCCTCAATCACAGCAGTGGTTATCTCTGAGGATTTTACAAAGTTGTAGATTTGCCAACACAGATGAGAGAATCAAACATTAAAACACATGAAATGCAAAAATAAAAAACACATAGAGCCATTGGTGCATCCATAATCCACACATGTTAATAGATGCATAGCTTCAACATTACTTTATTCTTTATACATTCATTCTCAGGACAATTGAGACATAGACCTAGAGGGTCTATGCCTGCCCTCTCACCACACTCTTTTTGACATGGAGGAGCAGTGGCTCTCCTGCTCTCCTCTAATGACTTGGCTGGTGACTTCTTTTGAAATGACCGAAGGGAAAAAAAATCTATAAACGATGTAAATGTGTGACTTGATGAAAGCAGACAACACAAGATTGTCCAAAGAATACAGATTTTATTTTTTGTCATATACCGTTGTGTGAAACTTTGAGACTACATATTTGAGCAAATGGACAGAGAACTATACAAATTCAATTTACCATGATAATGGAAATGTTGAAGCACCTAGCGTTCATGTTGATTATGGAGAATCAATAACATGTTTCCACTCTCGCAGCAGCAGCTCATCATGATCTCCTACTCACTCAGGTCGTCAGGAATATCTCACCTGTTGTTCCACGGTCACAGGTGCACCATTGTCCTTAAGGTCAGGAACAGGATCCTGGCAACCAACTCTGCCATCCATCATCCCAAAAGTCTTGAATCCTTTACATGTTATTTTCACCTTGTTTGTTTGTTTCTAGTCTCAAATGCTGTTCTTAAACTATATCTTTCAAAAGGAGTTGACATGAAACACACGCTTATGAAAAACTCTTCAATGACAAAATTCCATAAATGTTTAACTCCTCCGTAACACGCTCCCCGCAGTGGAGTGGTCCTTTACGCATGGCTTCAAAAGAATACACACATCAGCTGTGCGTCAAAACCAATGACCTTCACCTCATTTCAGCGGAACATTCACACAAGTCCTTTTGTCAGAGAAAGCAAAGGCTTATTTTATTTGAAATATATATTTAAGATCCAATTTCTCCCGCCTCCTCAACTGCTCTTTTAGTCTAAAAAATAAAAATACACAACTGCATCTGCTCTGTAAAATGGCTTATTCATGAGCCGCGTCTGTTGATAAAGGCATATTTTATTGATTGTCACAAGAAAGAGAATGTTTTCTAAACTTCATTGCATCTGGACTCAACATGTTTTAAATGTATCTTTCATTTCAAGAGTTATTAAGTTGGATTTCATGTCCATTTCCAAACAGCTATTCTTTGTGTTGCCCTAGTGATGCTTTCTTTTTGTCGACCAGTGATCTGAAATCTTGAAACACGTTCATTGGCTTCACGTTCTAACTCATAGTGATATTTCATCATATTCTGAGTGTTTCTTTGAATTTGAGTAATGTGGTTCTGTCAAAAAGTTCTGCATTAACCTGTTTTTTTTTATGAGAACATATGGTTTTATCTCTTTTTTTGGAACAAACATTACAACCGAAAAAACAAACCTCTAACTCGAATAATATCATTCAAAGCAATATTGCCTTTTGCCAGTGTTCGTCAGCAATTTTGACCGAATTGAAGAGATTTACACAAACACACGGACACACGCACACACGCACGCACGCACGCACGCAACAGGTCCCCAAACAACATCATTATTACAGGCTTTCAATGCGCCCCACACCCGCGCATACTCCTCCCTCACCACCGGGGGAGGCGTCTTTATAAGGACCGGTGTCAGCAGCGCGTCTCCTGCATTTGATAAATCACTTCTGAAGAAAGCGTCCGAAGAAAATCTATACTTTCACTTTTCATAGAAATTTACAACTTTTATCACGTGCTTGGTCTTTAGACTAATTAACACGTCTCCACTTTACCGCCCAGAAGTGCGTCTCACCCCGTGCGCAGGTTAAAGAGCTCGGCCCGGGAGAGTGGTCATCACAGCTGGCTCACCTCGTCTCTTCCCCCGGGTAAAGAGCGCACCAGTCCGGGTCAGGAGGTGAAATCGGGCCGCTCTTGACTCTACGACCTGTGGAAGAAGCTCGCACTGCCCCAAGGGAAATCCAGCACGTACAAGCGCAGGTCTGTTCTCTAAACTCTATTCGGTTTTGTCTTTTCCCCGACGGAATTCTGCCGTATTTGAGAATGTGTTTGCAATTTTTTTGGGAGAAAATTGCTGAATTATGTATCTGTCAACGGAGAAAGTGTTCAAGTCTGATCAGTACAATGTCCAAATGGTTATGTTTTATTTAGGACAAGCAATCTATTAGTCATTTTAAATCATTTACAAAAAATTTAGTTTTCTTACAACGAGATGTTCAAAATGTTTCAAAGTTTTAAGTTTGACCAAATAACCTTCTTCATAACATTAACCTTCATGATGCATTTTGAGGCCTATATTAAATGCAACTACTGTTGTTTATTTGAGTGCTCAGTAGATTCAAAGAAAAATATATTTTTCTTTTTACTTTATCTGCCCCCTTGCAATAGAACAAATAGACATAAACATGAACATTATTTTCTTCCTCTCTGCTCCAATCCAATGTTCAATGTATGTATATTATGTTATGAAGCTGATAAGTGCAACAGCATTTTCATGAAAGGAATAAATAAAAATGAAATTAAATATTAAATAAATCAGTTCTTCTTTGGTCTTAGACCAATGCATCTTCACCTTTTCTCTATCCAAAGAAAAAAAAATCTCAACACCTTAACGTCCCCTAAAATGTGTTGAATTGACTTTGTCCTCACTCAATACGTAAACCATCTAGAATGTTTCATTATTCTCTATGGACATTTTTTGCAAAAAGTAAATATATAATTTATATATATGTATGTATGTATGTATGTATGTATATGTATGTCAGTAAACTCAGATAGAACATTTCCCAAAAGCCTGCTGAAAATCAATGTTCTAATGCAGGGGTGCCCAAACTTTTCCAGTGAGAGTATGAAAGCAGACCAGCGGATGGGGAGTGTGTGGGTGTGAAAGAAGTATGTTGAACACATTTAATCAGAAGTCCTTTTCAATTTAATTTATATTTGCATATACCTAAATCACAACAGCAGTCGTCTTGAAGGACTTACAAAGTTGTTGGTTATTTAACAATAGATCAGAGAACCACACAGTGCCTCCTACCTAAAAATATTTCTGTGGCATGTGCACATTTTTATTACTATATATATGTGTGATTTAAAAAAAATAATAAAAAAAATAAAACAAGATCAACACATTTGGAGTGTGATATTAGTCATATTGTAGAAATCCAACACATAAAATATTATTACTAACTAGATTTGTCTGAGAGCAGACACACAATCATCCCGAGCCATTCCTGACCTTTTAGGGAACAGGATGATCACTGCATAATTGTCATTATAAGTTCATGAATGTCTCTCCAACAGCCGTAAGACAAAATCTTATGTCCTAAAATGACAGACATAATGTTAAGGGCCCAAAGAAAGAGGATTTAAAAGTCTCAGTCTAATGCGTGCATGGGTCGGCCTAAAAGGACATGTCCAAAGTGCTGACCACAGGCCAATCACGGCCCTGGTGCCATTTGAAGTGAAACTTTATCTCCACATCCATGTTGTAAATCTCAGTGCCTCCGGTTGACTTTGTTTGAATACACCAACACATATTTATGAAGATATCAGTGCTTTGGTGAGAAAGTCAGATTCAACTAATGTGTCTTATAAAACCTTTGGACACCTCTGCTTACTGACCCACTGCTTCCTCTGTGTCTGCAGATCCTCACAGGGGGACCCTCCTCTGTTGGTGCGATGGGCTCCGTGCTCCCAGGCTCCAGTCTTGCGCTCAAAGCCGCATTCAAGCCGCAGGCCGCGGTGGCGCTGTCCCTCGCTGACATCATCACGTCAGACGTGCTGCACAGCTTCCTGTACGGCCGCTGGAGGCACGTGCTGGGCGAACACACGCACGAGGAACACGCGCACGCGAGCGCCAGCCCCAAGACTGCGTTCACGGCGGAGGTCCTGGCGCAGTCCTTCTCCGGAGGTCAGAACTTTATCCCCATCTTCGTTTGAGTCCTCCGCATCATTCACAACCATTGATTCTTCTAAAACTTTGTGTCATTTCAAACTCAAAGGTTTCTCTGCACGTCATGATTTTGAGGTACATTGGATATTTTATTCAGTTATTATTTTGTTCAATGAAAATACAACGTCAACACGCACGACTCTGTATATAATATGCGCGTGCGTCATTTGAGCCTATCACACGTGAGCAATCTGAGACAAAACAGAACATGATAAACCAGAATGTTCTGAATTTTCACCTCATCAAACTAGCCTGGACCATCCGTAAACTCCGATCAATTATTATTTCCACATGAATGTGTACGAGGGTGTGGTATGACTAGGCTAGCATCAAACTGTTGCAAGTGCTGATGCACGCAGCTATATGCACCTGTTGAAACCCTTTTCTTTCATTTCATAATTACTGTTTTTTTTCAGACAGTTGTCATTGACGATTAAAAGAAACAACGTCTCAACCTGAAATGGAAAAGTATTAATAATGCAGCCAGTGCTGAGTTTTACGTATTTTCCCCACACATGTTGCCACGTCTTAATGGGTCATAAATATGCATGTACTGATGGAGAATATTTATATATGTAAATTGAAAATGAATAGCGTCAATATCAGGCTTTAGTTAAGACGGGTGCATATCTTTGACGTGAGGCCTGCGGCTGCAGAGAAGGCCTCAGCGCTGGAGGCCGTGTTTCTGCGCCTTTCGCCACAAGCTGCAAACATATTGCACTTTTCTGTTGCGTATTCAATCGTGCATGAAAACGTATTTTTCTTTGCTCTGGATTGATCTTAAGTTTAGGCCCATCCATCCATTTTCTACCATTTTTTTCCATTTCCGGGTGGGGGGGGGTGGTGGTGGTAGTAATCAGAGATGCCACCCAAGTCTCATAGCACCAGCCCCTCACTGACCCTCTGCAGGTGGTGAGTCCACATGAGGACGGCTGCTCTCTGAGTGTGAGCATAGCCTTGATCTTTCAGTGGGGGCTTTGGGCAAAGTGGGGTCATTGTCTTTAATAATGACACATAAAATGGGATTCTCAATGCAGCATCACTACAGTTCAGTACATTGTTTATGTTCAGGCATGTTTCAGATAAGACCCTTTATTCGTCCCACAGTGGACATTTCGATCATTCATTTAGCAAAGCATTGCATTTCATTTGTCCTATAAATCAGACCACAAAGCTGTATCTTATTATAAACATTTTATCATTTACATATGCTTAATCTTTTTCAGCTTTCAGCTATCTGTGACAGAGGCCAAAAAATACATGGATATATAAAACTATTGTATAAAACTGTTGAGCTAAAGTTTTTTTTATAATCACATAATTCTATTGTTAGAGGTTTGAAAGTTAGATACCCCAGCTTTAAGCCACTTCTAAAAAGGTTTGTATCAGTAGTTCCGATCTCTGAGTCCCTCCCATCACGCGTACATTCATTCAGCCTATTAGCTCTGATCCGCTCTCTTCTCAATAGACGTGACAGTTATAGGCCATGCGCGCGGCTCATGAATCCAAACAGAATAGACTTCTCTGGCTCGCACCTGTTCCGCGGACCTCATTCATTTTCATTTGGCTCCATTACATGGCGCTAATCCCGTGTCAGCGCTCTCCTCCCGGGCCGTCTGCTGCCTTTCTTCTGCAGGGGCCTCTAATGCGCGTGTGAAGGCCCGCAGTGGTCGCGCTCCCGTCTCGTGCGCCTTTTGTGTCGCGTCTAATCTGCGTCTCGTTTACGTCGCTCCGGTTTCACGCTCGCGCCCGGACCGTGAAATGAGCAGTGACGTTAAAAACCGTGCGTCAGCGGGGGGACAGGGGTTGTGGGGGCGTCGCGGCTGGGGAGCGGGGGTGTGAAGCAGCGGCTTGGGCGTGCAATGATCTGGACTCATGCGAACTATAGCAGGCAGCTGCACTTTGAATGATTGATGAGGCTATATTTTGATAATTGAACTGTATATTGCTATGATTTCAGTACACTAAATGATAAAAAATAATGATAAAAAGACACATTTGATTTTTTTCTGGAAATTTTAGATGTTATAATCACATCACAACTCCTTCTGAATATGTCGCGCAGGGACAACCATCACATTCCATGGCGTTTTAAGATTCACTAATGGTGTTAGGTTTCTTCACGAAATGAAATAATTATTACATATGCTTTTTGTCTGAGTTTTATTTGATGGGAGAAAAGGGAAAAAAATGTCTTATTTTAAAAAGACTACTTAAAATTACTTGAATAGTGGAGTTGATACAATTAATAATTCATGCAGCAAAATAAAGATATAGTTCTCAACTTTTCTGTATTGTTAAAACAACTATACGCTACACTTTTAGGCCTATCAAGCAGGCTTAGATCGTTGTATTTCAGTCACACATACCTCTTTCCATCAGTTCTTTCTGCTTGACTCTGCCTTTATGGACCATGAGGCTGCGCTCTCTGTAGCTGCAGGGTGAGGGCGTCCCGTGCGGGTCGCAGCGTGGATTAACCCCGTCATAATCACAGTTTAAATGATTTAGAGACGCGCTGATTCTCAGTGTGGCGCAACAAACGCGACCAGCTGCGCCATAGAAAGAGCGACACTCATGTTAGCGCAATTACAACAGGCGCACATATGGTGGGCATGCAGGCGCGAGTGTGCGTGTGCTTATGTCCGAGAATGTCGCATGAAAGAAACGGGATTACACGGTTCATTGGGGCTATGAATGACAAAATAATTGAAAATTAACATCAGCCAATTTGTTGAAACAATAAGTGATTTTTTTAAAAGGTGATTAACCATTTAGAACTGTATTTCTCCATGCATAATGTTCATGACATTCAGATTAAAAACAGAAAAATCGAGTGGACTCAAGGGAGAGTGTTTAATAAAATAGTGATAATTATAATCGCTCATGGCTCATACATTATTATCAACCTTGTTTGGCTCCTTATTTTTGAAAAACGATGAGAATTCATAAAGAATTAATAGACAATATTTCTTCGCAGTCATCAAAAAACACAAAATCTTCAATTATTTTGTTCTTGCTGTTATGTTAAATGATTTCTTTTCCTCACAGAGGTGCAGAAACTGTCCAGCCTGGTGCTCCCCAGTGAGGTCATCATCGCACAGAGCTCCGTCCCCGGTAACAAGTCTCCCTCCATGTTATTGTTGTATATGTTTATGTTTCAAGGTGTCTATATGGCAGGTTATTGACAGGCTGTTCCTGTGTTGTAGGTGAAGGTCTGGGGATCTTCTCCAAGACATGGATTAAAGCCGGGACTGAGATGGGCCCGTTCACCGGCCGTCTGGTGTCACCTGATCACATCGACCTGTTTAAGAACAACAACCTCATGTGGGAGGTACGAGCAGGACACGCCCCCTCACAATAAGCACTATTCATCCTGAAGTCAAAGTATTATATATATACGTGTATCATTTAAATTCGAGGATATTTTTATGCTCCTAAAACAAGTTACAGTTTCTATCAATTTCTCAGGTGGGATACTTTACAATTGTGTGTATGCAGGCTGTAATTTTCAAATGATAAGAATTAAACAAAAATTCCACCCCTCATTCTGGCAGCATTGGGAGGTGCAGGTGGAGTATTGTTTACAATTTATACTCTTTTCAAATAGGCCAACAATGAGTAACATTAGGCCTACTTTACCATCTCACACACATACGCACGCACGCACGCACACACACACACGCACACACGCACACACACACAAACACACACACGGGATAATCCTCCTTTAAGATGTGAAAGATTTGGAGATTAGGGTTTGAGTTTCATTTATTCTGAACAATAGGCAATAAACTGTATTTTGATCCATGTGTTTAGGTATTTAACGAGGACGGCACTGTGCGCTACTTCATCGATGCCAGTCAGGAGGACCAGAGGAGCTGGATGACCTACATCAAGTGTGCGCGCAACGAACAAGAGCAGAACCTGGAGGTGGTGCAGGTCGGATCCAGCATCTTCTACAAGGCTGTGGAGGTCAGTCCTGTTTTTGAACCGTTTCACACTGCAAAAAGTTATAAAAAAATTAGTCAAATTTGGCCAAATGTATCTTAATTTGAGCACATTTTAACTGCTTTAAAACAAGATATGCCAATGAGACAAGCAAAATGATCTTGTTTTAAAAAGATACAAGCAATGTCTCCCTTGGAATAAGAAAATGTAAAGTTCTTCAAATAAGATTAAATGGCTTTGTCCCATCGGAAATTTGTTTTTTCTCTGCTTTAGTCCTGCTTTAACACTGTTTTGTGTGGTTTTATCATGGACATTACTGTTTCGATCACTTACATAATCAAAAGCACAAGCCAATAGCTCTCTCCGGTAGATGGACGCGGCAACATAGTGTCAAATTTGTTGAGTTATTGGGGGATGCTGAAAAGTTATTTCCTCAAGATTTTGAATTTTCCATATAAACTTCAGTTAGAGGTTAATTGTTAAGTTAATTCCTAAATCTGACCTTCTATTCGACAGACGATCCCTCCAGACCAGGAGCTGTTGGTGTGGTACGGGAACTCCCACAACACTTTCCTTGGAATCCCAGGCATCCCAGGAGGAGACGAAGACCATAGTAAGAAGAGCAAGAGCGGTCAGTTCTGCTTACAGCTGGTCTAGACCTGCTATAGACCCACTTTAGTCCTGCTTTAGACTTGCTTTAGACCTGCCCTAGACCTGCTTTAGTGCTACTTGCTTTAGACCTGCCCTAGACCTGCTTTAGTGCTACTTGCTTTAGACCTGCCCTAGACCTGCTTTAGTCCTGCTTTAGACCTGCTTTAGTCCTGCTTTAGACTTGCTTTAGACCTGCTTTAGTCCTTCTTTAGACCCACTTTAGATCTGCTTTAGTTACAGTCCTGCTTTAGATTTGCTTCAATAGTGTCTTATAGTCCTGCTTTAGTTTTGGACCTGCTCAGTCCTTGTTTAGACTTAATTTACATGCAGACTGATGCCAATACAGTGAAATGCTGAATTGACATAGGATATACTTTTTCAAAAAGGTAGATGTATTGGTTGATCTAAATTCTAACAGCGCCAGTTTTGCCACTCTCACAGTTTTAACCCTTTATCCTCTCTTCTGTCTGTGCAGATGAGTTCCACATAGACCCGACGGGCCCTGGCCCTGCCCCTCTCCCGGCCTCTGTTCTCAGTGTGGGCCGGATGCGCTGTGTGATCTGTCACCGGGGTTTTAACTCGCGCTCAAACCTGCGCTCGCACATGCGCATTCACACACTGGACAAACCTTTCGTCTGCAGATTCTGCAACCGGCGATTCAGTCAGTCCTCCACGCTGCGCAACCATGTTCGACTGCACACGGGAGAGAGGCCCTACAAGTGTGTGGTGTGCCAGTCCGCCTACTCCCAGCTCGCAGGTACGCAGGCTCTGACCGCCATGAGGCCGTTTCACACGATTGTGTACAGTATTCAGATGAACATGTGTGTTGTCTTTCCAGGGCTCCGGGCGCATCAGAAGAGTGCGCGTCACCGTCCCACCTCAGAGGGGGGCCAGGGTGTGCATCTGGGTCCTGCAGGAGTGCATGTGGGTCCCACAGGCGTGCATGTGAGTGGCCATGTGAGCCACAGCACCCCTCCACCTCCTCCACATGCCGCTGTGCTGGCTCACCACATACCCACCATGGTCCTGTAGCTTAGACCCCACTTGCGTTTGTCCTGTTTAATCGAGCTCTGGTTTGAATAGTCAAATGGGCTTATGTTTGACCTCATGTCACTGTGTGTACACGTGCATTGCATGCTGGGAGTTCCTCGTCGATCTGGGACAAAGCTTATGGTTCTCCAGATAAAAGGTTGAGAAATGTTGACTTGTGACTGCTACAGAAGGATTAAGTATCTTTGTAAAATATACAGGTTTATATTATAGCTGTGGCTCTAAAGTAAACTATTTCATTCATTCATAAGACATAGACATAAAATCCTGGGTCTGTAGGAGTAATGTAGCAGCAGAGGGAGCTGTGCTCTCCAAGTACAAGCCAGGCTGTGTGCTTTGTATGAGGACTGTACATGGATCCATTCTTTATCTGTACTGTTCAGGCCTGGCATCTAGCACTGTTCGTTATAATTCTTTGACCTATTGGTCATTGTGAAGGGGTCCTTTTATGTTGGGTCTTCTGCTACAAACCAGTGATCTAAACCTGTTTTTAGCCCCATGCCTGAGAGTGACAAAAAGAATGTCATGTTTTATTGTTATACTTACACCCAAATTGGGTCAAGAGACACTTTTGAACAAAGCACTGTAAATGCTACTGCTTTTTTACACTGAACATCTGCTGCATGCGTTAAGACATGCACTCATTGTAGATTAGTATCACATTATGTTGATGTATTACAGTGAATAATTTAAACATGTTTTATTGTAAAAATAATAAAGTATTCATAAAGTCTGTCTGTGATTGTTGACAAAATATTTGTTACATTTCTTTCTCTTAAAAATGTTAAACTTGCTGAAGAGCATGCGAGACATAATATACCAGAATTATGATATATTTTCCTTATGTATTTTTAAACTATGCATAGAAGGTTTAAAATAATATTCTGTAAGTATACATGCTCTGCAACTTCTCTGGTGAATAACATTCAAGCAAAACGTACAGAATGTGGGACCTTTAGGATATGTGTTAAATAGAATTATATTTCTAAATCCCTAACAAGATCATACAGAAAAACTTTTTTTGATCTAGCAATTTCTACTATGAATTGCAAGAACAATGCAAAGTGTTCCAGTGTCGCTCTGTTTAAATGCAGTTCAGCCTTGGGTCAACAAAGCAGCAAAATATGTATTCAAATTAATAAATATGAAAAGATAGTTCATTAATCCGTGTACCCTTCGATCATTAGTTATTCCGTTTCAAAATAAAATCAGAAAAACAAATTTTCCATTCGTTTATTGGTATTTTCGTTTTCTAAATCAAATTGGAAAATCAAATCCTTTATGCTTCAATATCAATGTGTTTGTTTTGGCTCTAGTTGTTTAAAATTCTCAAAAGAATTATGGCATTACTATTATTTCGTTTTATTATTATTTGCGACACCGGAAGAGAGAAGAGACCTCGCGGAAAGGGGGCTACAGACGCGGGGGTGGGACTCCCCTGGTCCTACCCGCGGTGTGAATTTGACGCGCGGGGGATAAAGGACCAGAAAGTTATGGCCCTTGGAAACCACCGGGGGACCGCGCGTCTACCATCCGCCCAAGAGCGCTCATTTTGGGGGAGGAAAACCTCGGCTTCCAGGGCTTGTCAAAAACGAACCAGGGGACCTAGAGACACGGGGGTTTCACCCACGCACTCCTCCGGTTCTGGGCTATCACCGGGGAGGGCTTTGCTCCCGCTCAGACCCAGGCCTGAGTGCTCATTCTGGGGGAGGAGAGGACCGCAGCAGCAGGGTCAGGAGGCACGCTGCTCCATACCCCCGTGCTTACGGCCATACCACCTTGAGAATGCCCGATCTCGTCTGATCTCGGAAGCTAGGCAAGGTCGGGCCGCGGGGGCCAGCCGCGTATAGTGGGCATATCGTTGATTGGCACTGAACTGAAACTCTATTTTCTATACAGATTGTTTTGTCAAATACTACTGTTTGCCCTGAAATATGATCAATAAAAAGAAAGACTTCAATAATGTATGACATTATAATATATTTATTGTGAACAGATGAAAAAAGAGATATTTACAAATTTAAGAGAAGAAAAACAACAACATGCTATCTTTATCTTCTTAAACTAGTATTTGTGTGATGAGCCCTGTGACTGTGACGGCTGAGAGCTGACTATACAGAACTGTAGATGCAGACTTTACAAATGAAATTATTTAATTAGATATAATCAATATTAAGTATATATTTACATAATAATTAGAATATTTATAAACATTTATGAACAGACAGGTATAATATAGTAACTATATACAATAGCACCAATAGACAGCAGATAGCTCATTTATTTACACGCCACCTTTCCCTCTCCCGGTCATAAAAAGGAGACTGCTGGAACATCTGCGTCTCCATCCCCTGGTCCTTGTACAGGGAGAATACTTTGGCAGGGCAGTAGATGTATTTTCCTGACAGACCAGGGAATTGTGTATGAATGTGAGGACTGTTTGGTCCCTGCTTCAGCTGCAGTTTGCAGAACCCCCACTTTCTCCCAGTGGCAGGAGACTCATCACTCTTCCTTTTCTTCTCCTGCCGCTCATTCACTCTCTGCTGCGTGGCCTCCAGCTCTCTCTGGCAGAACTCAAGTGTCCATAAAGTCTCGGAATGGCATCCTGGAGTTGGTCAAACCCTCTGTGCGATAGGTGTTATAGACCTTGGTGGAGCAATAGAAATACCTGGTAGGACCCTGCTGGTAAAACTCGTGGATGGAGCTGCCATCGCCCTCATATTTGGATTTTGGCTGGCCACAAGACAGGCATTTCTTTGTGTGGGGTTTATTTGCTGGAGGCTGCTGCTGCTTTTCCAAGATCCGCTGCACAACCTTCTCTATGGCCTCCTCAGACAGCGGTGTCATGAGAGTCTGAGCAGGAGGAGGGGGGTTCACTGCTGCAGGGGGCATGGTGACAACAGGCACGGTGCTGGTCTTACTGCCTGCTGTGTGAGCGATGTACTCCCCCAGCACTTCAGCCTTGTCTGAGGCATCACCTCCTCTCACTCGCACCAGAGTGAGGGCGTTCTCCCTCACCACCTCCTCCCTCAGAGGAGCACCGCACTCCCTCATGGACGGGTCGTCCCTGATCTTCCTCGCCTCCTCCGAAGGGTCCTGCAGCAGGAATCCACGTGGGCCCTTGCGAAAAATCACAGTGACGCGGCCAGGAAAGAATGAAAATGTCTTCATATTGTCTGTAACAACAAAAAAAGATCATAAAATATCTAGCTATAGCATGATAGAGAAGTATGTATAATGTATATATCTTTAGCATAATAAAGAATAAAATAATTAAATTTAGCATTATAAAGAAGCATGAATCCTGTATAATCTAGAGAAGACATATACAGTTGTATGTTTACATCTGGACATTAGCAGCATGAGGCTCTGGGATACAGTAAGTACAGTTATAGAAGGAAAATATGAACTTTATATGAAATAAAACACTAATACATTGTCGTAAACTAACTGCATATAATTCATTTTCAACTCAATGTGTTGCTGAACTATAGAAATGTGAAATACATATAGATAGTACACACATCAACAATAATTAGCTAATAATAATTAGCTAGCGCTGGAAATACTACTACAACCAGACGTAAACAAACTGCATTACTGTATACAGTAGAATACAGTGAATACAGATTGTTTGTACAACGCAGAGAAAGTGTTTTCTTTACAATATCGATCCAAACAGAGAGATCTACGAGCAGCAGCAGCAACAAACATATGACACGGAGGTAAACAATCATAAACAGCGCACTACACACTCGAGATTTAAACTACAGACGTGTGTGAACGATCTACGCACAATATGAGAGATTTATGGAGTGAAACAAAGAACGAGCACAAAAACATTGTGTTTATCAGAGGAGACTTACCGAGTGCGTGTGTAATCCAGAATGAATGGAGAAAGCCGGCTCTCTCTGTTTAAGAGCAGCGCCCACAAAGTTTGCCCCATAGTACTTGGATGGGAGACCGCCTGGGAATACCAGGTGCTGTAAGCATTTTGCCCCTGGAGCTCGGGCCTGGGGGCGAGCTCAACAACAGCGCGAGTTGTTGTCGTGTAGTTGAGTTGAGTGCAGCCAGTTGTTTCCGTCTCTCACCACTCATCATTTTTGGGAGCATATCAAACAAAATAATGGAAGTTGTTTTAGTAGTGTTTGTTTCCACTGCATAGCAAAGAAATGGGTGAATATTTCATTTAGAATGTTTTGATTTTCCAATTTAATTTAGAAAATGGAAATACAATAAAACAACCACGTAATTTGTTTTTCTGATTTTGTTTTGAAACGGAATAACTAATGATCGAAGGGTACACGGATTAAAAACATCCCTCGTTATTCGTTTTTTCAATGTTGGTTTTATTTAGAAAAGCAAAAGAACGAATTATACACGGATTTTCATTGTGCCATTATGGTGATTATGGGATAATTGCGTTCACAATAAGCACCATCCCTTCTGAAAATAAAGAATAATTAAGTATATGTACTGTACTGTATATTATTCGAAGTAAAGTATTTCGAATTGTCTTGAAATTTCTTTTCCGAGCTATTAATGTTTTGCCAACATTGCCTGTTGGCCCTTTCTCTGGCCCATCTCAGTCTCTGCTTTGATTCATGTAAAGAACAGCAGTTCTTTACGTATGTAAATATCACACTGCACTTTATTCATTTACCTTTTAAACTTCACATCGCACTTTACTAGCACTGTACACATATTTTAACACGCTAATTTGCACATATAAGGAAATGCACACAACTGTTGGTTTTTTAAAACATTTATTGAAAAAGTAGTTTGTCCCGAATCCGATAGTTTCGGTAATAGGCTCTGTGCACGCACCACTTCCGCGTTTTAGCTACAACCCCACTTCACTTCCTGTTCGCGGCAAACGCCTTGAGTTTCACTGGAGTTCAGCAGTGGTTTACACGAGTTTCCCAAATAATGCTCAAACGGGAATTAAACTGTGAGGATACTGGGCATTTTTGGGACACAAC